CCTTCATGATGCTGAACATGCTCTTGGGTATCCTTGTGGAAGTTGTGGCCAACACTGCTGAAGGCTGCCGCTAAAGGATGCGGCTTCCCTCGAATGAACTTGCTAGTGAATTGAGCTTGGCAGGCTTAGGCGTGCATTGAGCGCATAGTACAAGTGCCCTGACTGCTCTTCCGCCTGCTTGATGTGCTTGCAACGGAATGATCCTCCAGTGTCCCATACTACGCACAACTGCATTTCGTACCACCCCATGTAAAGGAGTATGCTTGGCCTTCCTGTATGTGTCAGTGTTCTTTGCACAGAACACAAAGCCATTGAGTTTTCTTGCTGCATCGCCTATTTATGTCATTGCATGCTGAGCTGGATGTATTTGAGTGCGCTTCAAGCTGAGTGCATGTGTGTGTGTTGTGTGCGCCTGTGCGGTTGTACCTGTTGCCACATCACTTCGGACACCATGCAGACGCACAAAAGCCAGGTGAGAAGACCAAGGAGAAGAACACTGTTGTTCGGGAGGCTCACTTTTCTTGGTGACAGAAAAACAGATTGCAAACACAATTCACTACTGCAAACAGGCCATGGCTGCCGTGCTGAACGACCTTGGGGTTGGCACTGGCATCACGCGGGACGAGTTTCTGCGTGGGCCCCATGTATTGAAGCACATCTCCTCAAATGGAAGAAACAATTCTGGCAACCGGGCCAGAATCATTCGGCAACCGAAACAGTTGCAGAACTACACGCTGGCCGCCTGACAAGGTCCATGAGCAACAACAAAAAGATGATAAAGGACTTGCAGGACGGTCGTCCTTCCTGACATAGGCTTGAGCAAGGGACGTTGGAGATCACAAAACACTGCGCCGGAATTTGTCTCAATCCGTTGCAACAGTTCACAGGAGCTGGGCATCAAGCAGAAGCACTTCAAGCTCATTGCCAAGCTGCTCTTTGACAAGGCTGAGAAGCTAAGTCCGTGACTGCCCTCCCTGCATGCTGCGACCGATTGGCGAGATCGAGCAAGTCACATCGAGCAAGAACTCCTGCCAATAGATTAAATGGTTTTGGACATCTTGAGGATGTGGAGAAAAAGGAGACGCCAAAGGTGCTGACGGGAGAGGCAGGGAATGCTGCGTTCTGGACACCTACAGGATAGCATGTGGTTGATTCAACTTGCTTCGAGAAAACATTTTGCGGAGAGCTGGGGTCTTGCTTGGTTCTTGCAGGAGATCGTCAGTGAGCTTTTCCGCCTCCAACCTGGCACGCCGTTAAACTTCTCAGACCTCGCGTCGACCGAGAAGGCCCAGCAATGTCGATGCACAACCAATCCCAGTGCTTTCTTCGCAATATGGACTGCCGCCAGAAGCTCATGGACCAGCGAAAGGAACTCAAAAAAAGAATCAGCCAATGCCTTGGCCGGAATACCAGGGGACGTGCATGCATTTTGCATGTGTGCAGAGAACTGCCAGTGCGTGGTCTTTGGCCGCGTGCACGTGCCCTTACAGGTGTGAGCATGTAATTCTTTTCACATCATGTACGCCAGCATGGCGGTAGAAGACAGTTAAGATGCAAGTACCACATGGCGCCATCTTGTCATACCCATGTCAAACTTACTGCGCAGAAGTACCTGAGAAGCAAGACAAAGCATAGAACACATTAGACATGCATGCCGCTGGAAGCGATGTGTGTGGCTACTGCTGCGACGCACGTTTCAACCACGCGGGTGAGGTCAAATAGAGCACCTGGTGGCCATTGCTGGGGGCAAGACAATTAGTACTAGCTCAGTGATCCCGTCGTGGGCTCAGCATTCACAAAGGGCATCCTATGGGCTTGGACGGGTTGCTTCCATGCTTGGTAGGGCGGCCCCAAAATCAACCACGTTTGCTTGGGATGCCCTAGCGCGCAGGTTGTCTGGAAGCGGGGTATGCAGAGAAGGCGCCCTCTGCTGTGAGCCCCCTGCACAGCACGTACCATGCAGAAAGTGAGGGGCCACCAACCTATTCAACTAATGCAGCCACAGACGACTGTGCCGGGGCATTAATGAACAGAACGGTAGGCTGAAGTTTGAGGCGGCAGCTTCGGACTCGGAATTCACACGATCAATGCCTGATGCCAGGCAGTTCCTTGTTTGGGCCCCAGATAGTTTCAGACTCTGAGTGGTCTTGGACCTCAGTGAGTCCCTGGAACCAGCCAACGGCACAGATGCCGACATCCAACCTATCTGAAGTTGGCAGTGCACAATGTATGATTCTGCATGGCTGCTGCAAATCGAATCATGATATCCTCGACGCCGCGATGTGTAAGGCGCTTGCTGAAGAAAGTTTCGCAGGAAAGCGAAGCAACAGATGTAGGCCTGGCTGGAGTGCTGTGAAATGCATTGCTGTGCCTTTGGTGGGCTGCCATGTTGCTTTGGGCAGGCAATGCTGCTTCTGGCCCCTTGGATGGAAGCTGCGATGTGACTTGCATTTCATTGCCTTGGCATGCCCGAGGCAAGTATCACTTCAGATGCTTTAGCATGCCCGAGGCAAGTTCAGCAATGCGAAGGTGAGTCTGGATACCCTGGCCAGGCTACGCAGGCAGGCCACATGTTTGCCTTTGCCGTGTTGACTGATATGAGACATCCAGGATAGATTCCAGGGACATTATCGATGAGATCAACCGCCGATTCGGGTTGGAGGAACTTCGTACAGTCGCTCTCTGTTTCAGGGGCAGAGAGAAAGAGAGAGGGAGAGTGTGAGAGAGAGAGAGAGAGCGAGCGAGAGAGCCGGTCAGACTTTGAGAGGACCTGGAAATGAATGGAGTTCCGCACGGGTGCTCAGACCTACCTTCAAAGGAAAGACTTCACAGTTAGCAGTAAGAGGCTTCTCTTGTCAAGCGATCGACCAGGCTTGACTGGTTCGATGATGACTTGAAGGAGCAAGTCTCTGGAAAGTTGCTTGGCAGCAGGCTGGAGTTGCCAACAATCAGCCACGGAGGACGTCGGAGGTGACTTGAGCATCCTTGCGTTATGCAGCTTGCTACGCCCCATCCACCAACGCTCCTTGCAGGGGGGGGTGGCCGCAATGCTTGGTACGTTTACGCAAGAGAGTTACTTTTGTTAATGTGACCATGCGCTACTTTCTTCTGCGCTGGGGCGATGCAAGCATTTTCCATGCCGCAAAAGACCCACGAGGGATAGAGGGGTGGCAAGGATTGTGGCTACACAAAGAGCTTGAAACAGAAAAGCACGTTAAATAAACTCTGACACCTCCCCGCCTGTGAGCAACAAAACGTAGATTCGTCAATGTCCCGGCTCAAGCGTGAGCCAGCTTAGCATCATGCTTGACAATCTTTCCTGTCAACAACTCTTGCGCACGACGCTGTGAATTGATGCTCCGCTTGAAGCTGATGTGCGCAGGTTGGTTGCTGCCGGTTTTATCAGCGGAAGTGTACTTTGCGTACTACTCTCGCGCGCAGCAGTAACGAGCCTGTTAATCAACGGTCACTGTGGCGGAATGCTGCGTTTTACGACAAGTTTGTGAGGGCTTGGCCTCGAGGACCCCTAGTTGTGAGAATGGGACGTTCGATTCTTATTATGGGAAGGCCGTAGTGTTCGCTGAATCCGTGGGTCTACCTGTCGCCCGCCGCTCTCTTGCCCCACCGCGACGGGCAATCCTTGACCAGCTTGTCACGGGTTGAGGCCGGCTGGGCCAGGTGTTGATAAGGGCGGCGTGGTGTGTCGATGCGCGCGAGCATGTACGCGGTGTTTAATGGCCGGAGCCTGCCGCCAGTGCCTGCGGTGCCCGTGGTGCCCATGATGCCCATCATGCCCGCAACGCACGCGTTTGCAGTGTGTAATGGCCCATGCCCGTGAGCCCGTCGCCGCCGATGGGCCGATGGGCCTCCTGCGCAAAGGGCCTATCCTGTGGCCCTGCGCCGTGCCCGTGGTGCCAATGAAGCCCGTGGTCCTTAAGCGTACCGATCTCTTGCAGGGAGAACACACACCAGGCTACAAACAACATCCAAAGGAGCAAGACACACCAAATCACCAAAGGACACCAATGCCTCCCCACACAAAAGCCTTGAACACAAAGATGTAGCAACCATGTTAAGGATGTTTCGGAGCACTTCTTGGGCTCGATCCAACATCCATGGAAACTGAAGACTGTTCCAATCCAAGACCACACTCAACATAGCAGTCGACCGGAGCCTGAACAATTGTGGTTGACCTCGTCGACACACAATGGTCCCAAAGTCCAGTTGCTCTTTGGGCTGGCAATGCCAGGGATACAGCGCAAGATTGGGCACGTAGCGCAAAACGCGCGTCAACAAAACCGTCGACACTAGTCGAGCATGCAGATGGTAGCGGCTCTCTTGAGACTGGACCGCTTCATTGTTGCAGTCTGCTTTCCCAAAGAGAAAGTCGACAAGCTGGCTTTCAGTTGAAGCGTGTCCAAGCAGCCGTGCCAATTGTGAGAATGGTTGTCTTGAGTGCCTGTAGCTCAGGTTTGAGTAGATTGCTGATGCACTCTTCAATGGCAGTGAGACGAGTTGCAGCTCGGTGGTACTTCTGCATCTATTAGATCCTTGGGGAGCAAGCTTCAACTCTCAAGCATCAGAATCGCAGTGGAGTGTTCTTCAAAGAAGACACTCACTCCCAGTGCAGCCTGAAAGCAGTGGTTGCCTCTGTCTCACACCAACACAGTATTTTCCAAGTCTTTTGGCTTTTGAAGGGCAGGTGTGTGTGACCTAGTCGTAGCTTGCAAACAATTAGTGCACGGGCTTCGGATTAGCTGAGGACCTGTGGTTAAAGATGCGCTGTGCGAGGGTGAGTCTGTTTTGGAGCTACGTTCTGCGCTCGTGCTTGTTGGGCCGACTATATGCCCAACAACTGGTTGGATGCAACAGGTACGAATCACATGAAGAAAGGTAGCACATTGGCTGGCATGCCAATATTCAATGTTCTGGGATTGGATACATCTTTAAGCCTTATCTGCTTGCCATAGTGTATTTTGCCAAACTCCTTCACGGCCGAGGCCAACCTCACTCGGAACTTACCACCTCCAGATGTTGTCAATGCTCAGAAGGACACGAGTCTTTATTGCACCTGTATGACCTTTAACTCTAGTTGTTGTTTCCAGTGATGCAGGTCGCAGGCTGCCAGGAATTGCATGCCTCAAATTTGCTGAGGCACAGCGCCAAGAAGCCTCATCCAATCAAAATTGTTTCCAACGCAGGACAATTGCTAGGCGCTAAAAAAGAGCTTCATGCCCAAGCAAGTTGTTGGCCTTGACTTGTTGTCACAGGATCCGGTCACAGGTTCAAGATGTTCTGGATAGGAACAGGTCGAGAATAAGGCCAGCATAAGGTGAGGAGAGGCCAGGAGAAGCTTGCGTGCGTTGGCTTGCACAGGAGCAGAACTTTCGGGAGGTTGACGACCAGCTGCAGCAGGCTCAAATGCTTTTAGAGGCTGGAACTCCTTTGGAATTGCGTTGTGATTTTGCAGCAGTACTATCAGTACTATTTTCAATCATAGCTGTTGTGGGCACAAAGTTCAAGGGACATGGCCATATTTCGTTTCAACTTGGGGCAGGAGCAGACCCAACGCGAGAAGGAATTTCTCCGCTCGCAAGCTTCACAGGCCAAGGAGGTGCGGGTTGCAGCATGTGCACATGCTGCTGCTCGTGTGCACTTGTTATTTTCCTAGTTCGTTCCATCTAGTCGTGTCGTGATTTCACGAAGTTCCCGGGTTTTGAGTTGAGTGTTTGTTGTCAGGTGGTTGCTGGCCGGTGGGACCAACATCTCCGGGCCCAGGAGTCTCTGAGCGCAGAGGGCTTGGCCACTCGCATCAATCAGCTTTGTGCACCCGGGAGCACTCTTGAGCATGCGGTGTCAGGAGATCTCTGCAGAGCAAGACTTCCAGAAGGCTTTGGCTCAGCTGCACGAGGCCATGGCCAACGGCTCAACGCTTTGACAGACATCACGGTGTCTCACGGTCGCTGGCCAGTCTGCGCGTGTGATGCGGCTCAAGCTAGAGGAGCAGGCGCTGGCCCGCAGCAATGACGTGTTTCTGCACAACTCTGCGCTGTCGTGTTTCTGGTAGCGGCGTCCCTCGTGCGACCAGACTGTTTGCAGTTTGGGCAAATCACGTGCTGGTGTTTTTGGAAGCTTGTAGATTCGCCCGCATGGGGACCAACTGGGGGTTGGGCGGGGGAGGGGAGACAGCTTTGCGCACACGCTCAGACAATCGTGCTCGCAAAACACACACTGATGGTAAGGGTTCGTTGCCAGGCCAGGATTCCGGCGCAGTAGGTGAAGCCCTTCTCTACCTGCCTCAACAGGGAAACCCACCAACAGCGTTCAGGGGCCGGACTTTGGATCGCTTCTGCAAGCACAGGCGGTTCATCCGAACTCTCATCCTCCATCATGGAAGAGATGCCACACACACACACACACGAACACACACGATTGCCCTTTGCTGGCAATGAGATCTGAGCTCTCCGGAGTTTCGCGCAAGGCATCCCACGCGACTGGCATGCCGCGCACATGTCATGACGCCTTGTTTGGCATTGGTCTTATTCTGCTGCTTAGCAAGCGCAGCAGCGCTTCCTGACATGAAGCTGTGTTGAAAGAAATCGATGGTTTGCCTCTTTTGCGGGCTTAGAGGCTTACCCCAAACCTTTGAACACCTATCTTATTGACAATGGGCACTGGCCTGGACGAAAATACTGAAAGCAAGGCGTGCCACCAGGACTTTGGAGTGCTCACAAACCACGCGGCCTGGTGACGCGGTTGTGCCAAAATAGTGGCTCCACGACACGATTTCTTGTTCTTGGTGTCCAACGAGCGATTGCCAGCAAGGCGCCGCCACCATGTTTCTTTTCCTCGGCACCCCTCGACATTTGACTGTTGACAAGCTTTCCACCGGTTTCGGCAGAAGCAGAATCATGAAGCATGAAATCACTTTGCTGATGCCTTTGCCTGCTTGCTTTGGATGGAAGGCCAACCAGCTGATCATTGAGTTCCAAACTCGAAAAGCGCAAGAGGACAGCCAACTCAAACTTTCATTTTGAGAAGCAACTGACCTCCTTGTGCTGGCGGCTCATGAGAAAGCTGATTGCGCTTGGCAGGAAATCAACCGCCACAAGCATGAGGTAGAGTTGCATCACTGGGAGGCAGGTTCTTGCCATTGCGCCCCACCTCTCTGAACTGCGATCCAGCTGTGCATCGACTTTTGTCATGCGTTGGCACATTCTTGAGCGACAGTGCCATGAAACAATGTGGTGCAGCAATTGGCTCACAACTTCTCGCGCCTTTTTGGAACCACCGGCACCGAATTGCACCAAGCCCATCGCACATCACGTATCACAAAGTATATCAGGCAAAACTCATTGTTCTGGCAGTCTACGTACTTTCTTACCACCAGCCCGGGTAGCAATGTGAGCAGGACTGTCATAGTCTCAGGCGCTCAACACGTTTGCATGGCTGGCTTCTGCCTTGCATTCTAAAGTCTTTCACTTTAGATTGATGTGCCATTGGTAGCATCAGTGCAGATGTTGCATGCATCCTACCTGACAAAATCTCCGTCGCATCCTGTAGACTTCGGCTCAAATGGTGACTTCCTCTACTGACCTCTACTGATCTTTCCAAGCCACCCAGTCTTACTGGTTTCATCGGTTTCATCTTCTCAGATTTGCAAGCTACACAAACGAGCAGTGCCCGAGTGCCGGGCGACCCGCCCCAAATTTGCACGGGCGTTGAGCCGTGATCCGGCGTGAACGGCTATCCCAAAGACGTGGCCTTGACTCACAACGTCGAACTTGCTCAATGCCCCACTGCTTGAAAGGAGTCCGGCTTGCTTGCAGTCGTAAGGCATTGGCAAGAAAGGAGGCTTAGATTGGCTTCGAGCCAATCGATTGCAAGACAGAGCCATTTGCAATGTGGGGAAATGTGTCTTGCAACAGCTCGCAGCAGGAGCAAGCCCTGCTATGTGATGGCGGAGCGGGCTGCTCAGCATCGTGTGGGAAATAACTGTGAGACATGAGGCTTGCAGACTTGAGCAGAAAAACGGCATCAATGCCCTGCACATTGTGGACTAGATTATATTTGTGTGTGTGTGTGCCGAGAAGTAACCCAAAAACATATGAAGTTGAGGCCAAAGCTGCTCCCCATTGCTCCTTGGCTCCCAGCAAGGCTGGGCAATTGAGGGGGTGCAGGAACCAGGGACAGCTTTTGCAAAATCTGCGAGCTTTGCATGGGGCCGCATCAACTGATGCTTGAAATTGCCGTTCTTGAATCCCGCCGGATGTGTTCGACGGTGTGGGGCAAGGTCGCGCCATGGTTGCTGCCGGAGAGGCCTGCCTCAACCTCGTTCTGCAGATTCACAAAAGCGACAAAGAGAGAGAGAGAGAGAGAGAGATACAGACAGGGAGAGAGAGAAGGAAAGCAAGTTTCAAGGCATCATGTTCTGTGCGTCCTCGGTGTCATCCTTTTGCTGCATCTTTACTGCACAATAAGCACAGCAATGCAAGGAAGTGCCTAGCAAATCAACATGCCAGGCTTTACATTCTGGTGATCGGCTTGCTGTTGTTGTTGCTCTTGCTTCCCAGGCCTGTGAGACATGCATAGAGTTGCGGAGTTGCCAGCAGCCTCTTTTGCAGGCTGCTTTTGCAGTGGCTGCTGTCACCAGCATTGTCTTCCTTCGGTTATGTTGTGGAGCACGGCTATGCACTGAGGCCAGACTTTTGCCAACCACATCTTGGTATGTGTGGATGCAGACAGAGTCTGCCAGATTTCAGTCTGTGTTGAGGATATGCAAGCTGCACGTGAGCATTCTGCAATTCGTCCAGAAGAGCTGGAACAGGCGGCGCATGCGGTGCCATGCATCATGGAGTTCCATCACAGCAGCACGTGCAAATTCTGTGGGTACAGTTGTTCGATTTCGGCCACAGGAGACCTTACCACAGCCGCTTCTCTGACCTACGCAGTGAACTCTTCCCTGCGGGTGGCGGGGCTACTCGCTGGCATTCGGAGATTGCTCCAAGCAGCACCCTTGCTGAAAGGAAGAGTGGCAGCGGGAGCGTGGGAAGCCATTCATGCATATCTTCAACTCGCTGGAGTCTGTATTGGTGGGCCACAATCTTTGCAGGTGTGCTACGTTCACCCCGTTCCTTGTCTTGTGGACAACTTCTGCTACGTTCTGGTACATGAGGAGCGCTTTCTGCATTCTTGAACTTCTGGAGCCACGTGCCTGCTTCGCTCCAGGTAGAATCTGCACCTGAGAACGCCTCCAACAGGTTCATGGCCGGTGAGAGGGATCCTGTGAATGGTCGGCTTGTGTCAGGTCGGGGCTATCAGCAGTCGTGGTAGACCCTTGTGATGCTCCTGCCGTGGAGGCGGTGCCGTGAGTCGAGGATCACCGGACAGGCAATAGATTTGGATAGCTCTGCTGTGTGAGCCTGGCAGAGGTGGCTAGAGCTTCGGTTGTTGATACGCATTCCGGCTTGCCAGTGTCACCAAGACCTCACATCTTTTGTGGTCCCAAAAATGAAATGTACAAAGTACAAATCTGGGCATTGAGACTTGTTGCAGGATTGCCAAATATTCCTGTTCGACAAAGGCGATGTGGGGAATACTGCATGGAACAACTGTATGCACGCTAGAACCCTTAGAGGCCATAATCAGCAGAGGGGACAGGTAAGAGAGGCAATCATCGCAAACAGGGCAACCATTTCTGCAGCATTTGCAATGGCTTTCCGTACAAATCAGCGTCACTACTGATCAGTTGCTAGAGTTTATGGGAACATGTGTATATTTGCAGTATATGCACCTTAGAAATATGTTTGTGGCATGTATGTATGTAATGTAATGTAATGTAATGTAATGTAATGTAATGTAATGTAATGTAATGTAATGTAATGTAATGTATGTATGTATGTATGTATGTATGTATGTATGTATGTATGTATGTATGTATGTATGTATGTATGTATGTATGTATGTATGTATGTATGTATGTATGTATGTATGTATGTATGTATGTATGTATGTATGTATGTATGTATGTATGTATGTATGTATGTATGTATGTATGTATGTATGTATGTATGTATGTATGTATGTATGTATGTATGTATGTATGTATGTATGTATGTATGTATGTATGTATGTATGTATGTATGTATGTATGTATGTATGTATGTATGTATGTATGTATGTATGTATGTATGTATGTATGTATGTATGTATGTATGTATGTATGTATGTATGTATGTATGTATGTATGTATGTATGTATGTATGTATGTATGTATGTATGTATGTATGTATGTATGTAATGTATGTATGTATGTATGTATGTATGTATGTATGTATGTATGTATGTATGTATGTATGTAATGTAATGTAATGTAATGTAATGTATGTATGTATGTATGTATGTATGTATGTATGTATGTATGTATGTATGTATGTATGTATGTATGTATGTATGTATGTATGTATGTATGTATGTATGTATGTATGTATGTATGTATGTATGTATGTATGTATGTATGTATGTATGTATGTATGTATGTATGTATGTATGTATGTATGTATGTATGTATGTATGTATGTATGTATGTATGTATGTATGTATGTATGTATGTATGTATGTATGTATGTATGTATGTATGTATGTATGTATGTATGTATGTATGTATGTATGTATGTATGTATGTATGTATGTATGTATGTATGTATGTATGTATGTATGTATGTATGTATGTATGTATGTATGTATGTATGTATGTATGTATGTATGTATGTATGTATGTATGTATGTATGTATGTATGTATGTATGTATGTATGTATGTATGTATGTATGTATGTATGTATGTATGTATGTATGTATGTATGTATGTATGTATGTATGTATGTATGTATGTATGTATGTATGTATGTATGTATGTATGTATGTATGTATGTATGTATGTATGTATGTATGTATGTATGTATGTATGTATGTATGTATGTATGTATGTATGTATGTATGTATGTATGTATGTATGTATGTATGTATGTATGTATGTATGTATGTATGTATGTATGTATGTATGTATGTATGTATGTATGTAATGTATGTATGTAATGTAATGTAATGTAATGTAATGTAATGTAATGTATGTATGTATGTATGTATGTATGTATGTATGTATGTATGTATGTATGTATGTATGTATGTATGCATGTATGTATGTATGTATGTATGTAATTAATGTATGTATGTATGTATGTATGTATGTATCTATGTATGTATGTTTGTATGCATGTATGTATGTATGTATGTATGTATGTATGTATGTATGTATTAATGTAATGTATGTATGCATGCATGCATGCATGCATGCATGCATGCATGTAATGTATGTATGTATGTATGTTATGTAATGTTATGTAATGTTATGTAATGTTATGTAATGTAATGTTATGCAATGTAATGTTATGTAATTTTATGTAATGTTACCCACAGCCCCCGAGGTTTGCCGTCACCCCCTAATCCACGCTTGTCCTGCCCATGCCCAGGTGACTCGAGTTCCTGCAGCACGTGGTTCAAGTATGGCACCCTTTACTAGTCAAGTAGCAGAACTCGTGCAGCCATATTTGACACGTGGTGACCTCCGTTCTCTTCAGAACGTAGGGCCGTGGTACCACAAGAGCGTGGGTGGCAGGCAGGTTTAGGGTTTTAGGTTTAGGGTTTAGGTTTCGGTTTGGGGCTTCATGGTTTTTAGGGTTTAGGTTTAGGGTTTTACGGTTTTTGGGATTTAGGTTTAGGGTCTTTAGGGTTTAGGTTTAGGGTTTTTAGGTTTTTAGGGTTTAGATTTAGGGTTTTTAGGTTTAGAATTTTTGGGGCTTAGGTTTAGGGGTTTTAGGGTTCAGGTTTAGGGTTTTTAGGGTGTAGGTTTAGGGTTTTTTAGGTTTAGGGTTTTTAGGGCTTAGGTGTAGGGCTTTCAGTGTTTAGGTTTAGGGTTTTTAGGGTTAGGTTTAGGGTTGTTAAAGTTTAGGTTGGGATTTTAGGGTTTAGGTTTAGGGTTTTTAGGCTTAGGTTTAGGGCTTTCAGTGTTTAGGTTTAGGGTTTTTAGGGTTAGGTTTAGGGTTTTTATGGTTTAGGTGTAGGGTTTTTAGGGTTAGGTTTAGGGTTTTTATGGTTTAGGTGTAGGGTTTTTAG